TTCAATCCAGGAGTTCCCTCTCTGGACAATTTCTGAAGGCAGAAAAAGAGAAAAAAAGGAAAAGGACCATGGGAAGCTTCATTGCTTCTCTTTTTCTGGGGCCATAAAAAAAATAGCTGCCATTTGCTGGATGGCATTTCTGCATTTTGGCTTCAAGGTAAATCCCAGTCCTTTTCAGTGGTGCTTTTGCTTTGGTGGAGTGAGGTCAGAAGCTCAGTTTGACTGTGTAGACTGATTATTTGGAAGTAAATCCCACTGGGTTGAGTAGAGTTTTCTCCCAGGTAAGTGTGCCTGGGACTGTAGCTCTGGTTATAAACTTTGGTGGATCTTTGCACGCTGTCCTCATCCCTAATAGTCTTACCATAGATCTCCAGAGACATTCTTTCTTTCTTTCCACCTTAGTTCACATCTCTGTTGTTACATGATGCCATGCCTATCTATGATACATGCTGCTGTATGTTGCTTAATGAACATGCACAAGTGTATCTTTGTAGAGAAGGAACAATTCAGAACTAAATTTCCATTGGGAAAAATTTGGCAAGTGCCACAGGTGCTGAAACTGAAGGTGGTGAAATCTAGAAAACTTTCCATTTCTTCTCCTCCAAAAACAATTTTTTTAAATGTCAAAGAGAGGGGACTGGGGACTTGCCTGTGTAAAATAGAAGTCCAGCTATCCCTTGGGCTGCGCAAGATACTTGAATAATTTGGATCTTGGCCATCACTTTTAAAGTTAGCAGCATCCTTCACTATTGTGGAATCAATGGAATGTATGGACACACTTTCTATTTTAACTACTGATGAGCAAAGTAACTCTTGTTCAATTCAAAACTTGTGCTTATGTTTTGAAAGATTCAGTACATCTTTTTGTTCTGTGTTTGTAACTCAAATCTTTGAATCATATTAAAATGTTTCTTTTGGAGCAGATTTATGGAGTGGTGTTAAATGATAATAGTAATCTGTCTGAGTTTGTTGTGTTATTTTCTAATTTTTATCTGTTTTGTCAGTCTATATCAGGGGTAGTCAACCTTGGATCTTTTATGACTCGTGGACTTCAATTCCCAGAATTACCTTAGCTGGCTCAGGAATTCTGGGAATTGAAGTCCACGAGTCATAAAAGAGCCAAGGTTGACTACCCCTGGTCTATATATTAAAACATTTATATTGATGCTTGTACAAGTGAGAGTAGTGAGGTCCTAATGGAGCCAAACCATTTTGACAGATGAAGGGCACTGCAGGAATACTGCAATATTTCAGGATCAGGCTTTAAAAACAAGCTACTAGATACATGTTGCACTAAGATTAGTTTTTTATTTTTACATTTAAAAACGATCCATTGCAACATACATTGATTTCTAATGTTAATTGTATATGAAGATAGGTCATTTATTTTTTAGATACAATAACTTACTGAAAGGAAAAGAGGCAAGCAAGTTCTAACTATGGAATTTGAAGACAAACCCATTCCTCATTGAAACCCGAATTGAATTTACTTTGAAATTGATGCGCACATAAACTGCAGACCAAATACAAATCACTTTCAGGCTTCCGATGATTATAGTTTGTAAGAAGATAATGAGCATCATGGAAAGTTCATTTCAAACACAGTGTTTTCCAAGATTTCAGAGAGATAATGCTACACTGAAGCAAAATTGAGTGTACAAGAGACTTCCTAGAGTTAATTGAAATACAAACTGCTCCATCACCTCCCCCCCCAAAAAAAACTGATAGAGGCCGGCACTTAGGTATTAAGTTTGACATCCAACTATTCCTCAAGCATCAGCTTGAGGAAAAGTGTCCTAAAATTGGGATGGATGCTAACCACAAGCAATTTGGGCTTGAGAAATTGTTGCTAGTTCTTCAACTTGAGTCTATACACTTACCTATTATATGATAAGTTTTATTGTGATCTAGCTCTTACATTTTGTAGCTTGCTAGATTAGTTCTGTTATTACAGTTTGTAAATACTTACAAACTGTATATGTAATACATTAAAGTTATGTATTACATGTATTTCAAAGTCAGTTCTATCCCAAAGCATCTTTTTAAAGGAAGATTTCAATAGCGTTGAAATGCATTTATTTATAGCCCATTTGGGTAACAAATGTGGCTGAAGCATCATTGGTCTTCTTAGTACTGGATGGGAGACCACCAGGAAATATTGGTAGAATATGAAAATATATTTCTTGTGAACCTGGAAGTCCCTCACAGCTTTTCTATGAGAAGTTGAAAAAAAGATTTATTGGGCTTGTGTAAGTGGATGGTGCAATCTCTATCTCCTTTGAATGGCTCATTGTTAATTCCAAGTTTCTTGCTTAATGTATATAAACACTTTACATACTAAAGTGTATGCAATATTTGTAGAACGATAAGATTCCAGAAAACTCTCAAACATTACTTTTCAGACTTCAGCTTTATAAGTGATGTCTCCCTTTTAGTTGAACTAGATTTCTGGTGACTTATATTAGTTTTCTTGATAACAAGAAAGTGGCTCGTCTTGTTTTTTCTTTAATACTTTTTCAGGTTTTTAATTTAAGTTACAGCATTGATATTTTCTAAAAGTGTCCCATTCACACACTAACCAAACCTTTAGTAATGGATACATTTTAGATAAAATGCTTAACAATGGTAACATTTTTCCTAAAGAACAAGTAGTTGTCACATTTTGATACGTGAAACCTCCCTGGAATATTTCAACAGAGTATTTATTACAGGGCACGTTACAGAAGAGTGTTTCTTCAGGCGGAACCTCATAAGCCCTGAAAATGTTGTCTCTGTGACCATCATCCCACAAGGCTTCCTCAAAACAGGGATAGAGGCAGGAAATGAGAATGCAGTTTTGGAGCTGGCCTGGCACAGAAAAGAATGTAGGTTTGAAAGTGGTGAAATTTCTAGGATCTCATTGCCATGCGATGGCCTTTCTGTTAGGCGGTTTTCTGGAGCCTCCAGTGCACATAATAGTAATTGTTACACAGCCTGAAATGGCCTTCCGAACAGAAATGTATTTTCAGGCTATCACCCTGTCCCCTAGTGCTATTTAGGTTAGGTTAGGGTTTAGTTTCTATCACTTAACCGTTTAAAAATGGTTTAATTATCTAAATCCATAGACACTATTAATACAAATGCTTATACCTTTAGGTTTAAACCTATAGGAAGCCTAGGAATTTGCAGCTGTTTGCTCCATGCGTCATCAGATAAGTTGTGTTGTATCTGGTGCTATTCCTGGCATTCAGTGCATCAGAAGAACAAACTTTTTTTGAAGGCTGCATACTAAAAGTTAGTGACAGGGCCGAGACAGAAATCAGATTTTTGTTGATCTCACATGAACTGAAGTAAAATTAAGTATGGCTACTAGTATTTCTCTAATGTATTTAATAACTTCTTTATGTTGCATTAGCATTTAAACCTTTGGGTGTATCCTTGGAGAGAGCTACTCACGGCTTTCAAAGGCCATCTGTGGCTCTTGGACCAGAGATCTGCATCTCCTTTTGTCTGCCTTTGTTGACTGCAGAATGTGGTGTTCTCTCTCTCCTTTATATTGAGGAATCCTGGAATTTAAGTTGATTTACTGAGATTTGGCTTGTTTGTCTTCATCTGCACGGTCGGTCCCAGTAGAAATTATTGCTCACTTCTTTTAGGCTTGCATGTGTGTTTTAAATACAACTAAGTATTTAAAACAGCAGTTTTCATGGGAAGTTTCATTAGGCTGTGTAAAATACCTTGTGTTCCATTCTTGGCATTCCCAGGTATGGCAGGGACTCTTCTGTAGCTGTCAGCCTGTGGGCAACATAGAGAGAACTGATAGTCTTACTAATCATAAAAAGGGATTGTTTATTCCAAAATAATGTTCATATTATAATTTAGTGAGTTGAGCTTATCTGGAGAGAACTACGCAGTTTCCTCCCTACGAGAGATTTGCCACGGCCTCTTTGAGAACATTGTTTTAACTTTTAACTCTACCCTGGGATTTCCTGGTGGTCTCCCTTCCGAGTATTAATCGGGTCTGATCATGCTTTGCTGCCAAGCCCAGATACAGAGTCTGTCCCCTGCTGGACCTTTCTAGGAAGCCTGGGACTGTGTATAGGGAAGACGACGACAGCCCGGCCTCATTGGTTTCACAGAAGTCTGCCGGCCTCGCTGCTCTTTCTGTTCCATATTAAACCCTCTTTGCAGGAGGGCACTAATTGAACTCGCCAGCTGCTTGTTGGAGACAGTCTGGTCCTCGGAGGGCAGGGCGGGAGGGCAGGGCTGTAGTTTGCATTTTGCCTGCAGCTCATCTTCTAGCTTGGCTGTGGTTGGGGAGAAGGGCCCAGGGCTCCTTTTCCGAGCCTGCCTTTTCCTGCATTAAGCAGACTCTGCTTTGATGGATGCCTGCATTAGTTGACTGCATGCAGGAGTCCAGCTGGTCATGTGAGGCTGATACGCCTGTTGGCTGGCCCGGCCAGCCAGCCTGCCTGCCTCTTCCTTCCCTAGGCTGAGGGGAGGCACCGCCTCTATTCTGGGGCTCCCTCCCCGATGTGTACGAGGAGCCGAAGAATAGCAGACTCAGGGCTCCTTCGGGCAGCCAGTGGCTTTGCTGCAGAAGGCACTGGACTGAATCCTGGAGGAGCTGCTGCTGCTGCCGCCGCGTCTGGATTTGTGTGCCGTGGCCAGCGCTGACTCTGGAGATCACCCGAGATTTTACAAGTAGGCTGGGTGGTGGAAGTGACAATGCAGGAGCCGTCCTAAGAAGCTTTTCTGATCAAAGTGGATCTAACTTGGAGACTGGCTGGCGGGATTTGCAACTCCGTGTGACTCTCACCCTTTGCTTCTTTTTCCCCAATTGGTTTACACTCCGGATTACTTGGGAAACTTTACTGAAAAGAAAGGTTGGGTTTCCACGCCCTGGCCATGTTCGGGAAACGGCCTGCCTTTCATGGATTTGTGTCCCCTTCTGGGTATTGTGTTTGCGCTGGCTGTCTGCAAGCCTAGGAATTTCCAGGAGGGGCCTCTGTTGTGGATTGTTTTTGTTTCTATGGAGAAACGCAATGAGCTGTTTTACTCCTGATGACGGGGAAATCCGCCTTCAGTTTTTTGTATGCTTGGAAAGGAATCCTTGATACATGTCTGCCAGGAAATAAAAGCAACAAAAGAAAAGGTAGCACACTTCTAAGCTGTGTCGTTTGGCGTCTCACATTCAAGAGTTGTAGAAGTCTGTGGTGGCCCTGGCAATCGCAGGCATTTGTTTTGTTTGTTTGAAAGAAATGGGAGAAGCACCTGTAAGTTTTCCGCAGATGGTAATTTAGTTGAATTAGCCCTACTAAGTAGTAGAACCGTATACTGTATCACAACGTGCTTTAAATGGGACTGGAATAATGGCTAATATTTTGTTTTAGCTCAAAATTCACTATATGTCTAAAATGTGGCAAAGAAAGTGAAGAATCACTATGTCATATGTTTGCAATACATTATTAAGTAATTGTATCAGTTTGAAATTTGGCATGCCCTGATAAGGTAATCCCAAGGGATATAACTTGGCAAGTTGTATTTGAATTCTTGAGGTCCTTCTTGAGTATTCTTGAGTATTGAACCAATTAAAAATCATTATCTTTTATGTGGTTAAAAAATCTTGGAGAAGAGTTGGCTCATAGTTGTCTAATTGTATCTGATTTTAATTGTAATTGGACTTGATCTTTTTTTCTCATACCAAAACAGAGCAGGTTCCCCTTTCTGTTAGAGTAGGAGCCCTAAATACACTGTGCAAGATGGAATTTTGGAATCTAACAAGCAGATTGTATTCTCACATAATTGCTGACTGTTGAAAAATAGCAATTTTTAGTATAGTTAGCAAGTAAAGTATTGATGTGGTCAGAAAACAGATCTACATCCATTGTGTAACATTTGAGATCTGTTTTACAATTGGGCATGCTCTGACACGCTCTGTGATAATGAGGCAGGATCCCACATTTATCCACACCCTGCCTGTCGTTTGTGTTTTGAGAAAGTATACAAAACACTTAAAAGTGGTGAGTCACTGGATGATTCTCTTGCTGGATAAAGATTAGTTTCAGCACAGCAGGCTTTTGCATATATTTCCATCCGATATTGATACAGTTCATTTTTGAAGATTTAATGATGGGGGGGGGGGGAAATGGGGAATACTTCCAGCTGTTAATAACTGGTAATTTGCATGTGCTAATACTTTAACTGACATAATGTATTAAATCTGGCCTATAGATAAAGGCAGTAAGGAAAGATAATTGGAATCTCAGAATCTTTTTCATGCAGTATTCATACAACTATTTGATAGTAATCTATCCCTGGAATTGTACTGCTTTGTACACAGAAGTGCTTTAAAAACATTTTATACTAAAGCATGAGACATACAATAGTGGGGCTAATTCTGCTATCAGCTACTACTTAGCTACTAACATGAGCACAATTACACTTAAAGAAGTGGAAAATTAGTTTTTAAATAGGTCAAGTAAGAATTTAATACTTTAATCACGTGCCAGGTTTTGCAGTTCTAGAAACGAAATATCATTTCAAATAAGCTAGATACTTAAGTTTGCAAAACATGTTTTTAGTAAAATCAGTTCAGTTTAAATTGAAAGAAAGAGCCAACATACTGGTTAGGGTGTTGGACTGTGACTCAGGATTTGATTCAGGTCCACACTCAGCCATGAAAACTCACAACCTGTACTTCAAAAGATATTATGAGGATAAAAGTGAAGAAAGTTCTAGATATGGCAGAAAGAAATTAAGTGAATAAATAGAAGCTTGTCCTGTCTGGCTAGATGACTACAGTGATGATCACTTTTCATCTAAAGTGATTAAGATTTCATCACATGAGGGCTTTCTCTTCTGGCAAATGATTGGCAATATGGAAAGCTACTAAGTTATTTTAAGCAAGGTCAATAAAACAGCCTGTAAAACAGGCATGTCAGACTCACGACATCACATGATGTTGCGCGACGTATCGGGACTTTTTTCCCCATTGCCGGCAATGGGGTGGGCACGGTTTCGGCATGACACATCCAGCCTGCGGGGCCGGCAGTTTGACACGCCTGCTGTAAAACATTTATACTAATATGTTTAATGCAAAATACAATTTTATATACATTGTCCCACGAGGCCATCCAAATGAACTAATTATAATTGGCAAAGCACCTAGTTAGAAAACTTTTCTAGAGCATGCTCCTGTCAATATAGATACAGAAAATTTGTATGAGAATGGGGTCCCTTCCTCATTTTTCAAGAATCAGTAGACACTTAATGGATTCTATAACTATAGAATAATACTCCTATAGTGTGGGAATTGTTTTACAGTAAGACCCAAATGATTAATCTCTTCAAGTACTAAATAATTAGGGCTGAGCTTTGATAAACTTGATAAAGTAGTTGGAAGCATTTGCCGTCGGATTAAAGGGTGTGGAAACGTGATTTCTAAATCATTTTACAGGATTGTATTATTATGAAATACGTGGCCTGGTTGAGTGTGGCTAAACGTGTGTAATGCCCAGCTTTTTGGGTGTGGGTGTTTTACACAACAGGGTAACCAAATACGTGTTTGACCATTCCCTCATTATAATGTATTTGATTTAAGGAATGTCTTCTTGGTCATAAACAGTTCTGGAGGAATTTTCAAGATAGGCAGAAGAGGCATTGCCTGTCTTTTAACAAAAAGGAGAAATGCTATCCCACGATGGTACATGCTGCTCTTGCCTTTTTAATTACAACTGAACTATGGCAGTAGTTTGCTTTAACCATGTTTTTTTTCCAGAGGAACCTGCTGCCAAATAAATCGAGACATTGTTTTAATTTGAACACTTTTAACTGCTGAGTCCTACCCATTAATTGATTTAAGTACTTTCGCCATACTTTTCTGGGGGCTTGCAAGATGCTTCCTGGTCTGCACAGTGAGACTATTACCAGCCCAATGAGGTTAGCTATATTTAGGTATAGGTATTTAATAGCATTTCAGCCACTCAAAACATGTAGCCAGATGGCCAGGGAAAATATTGCATGAAAATGTTCTGATTGGTAGGAAAAACAAATGTAAACTGTCAAGTTGTTGAAATCTGGCACCTTCCAAATATTGATATTTTGGTCCCACGTGTTTAGGAAGAGACTGCTTTTCCATCTTTTGTTTAAATCCCTACCAGGCATAATATGCTGAAATGTTGGCTCAGGGTGCTGTTATTCCTCCTGTCCATAATGCCATTGCTTGCCTCCTAGGTGTTTGTCACTAAGATGATAGCAGTTTTTGCATTGCAAGAGGCCTGGCAGAATAGCTAATTATCACCCAGGGTGTCTTGAGGAAAAGCTCTCAGTGTATCCGGAAGTAGGTTTCTTCAACAGCACGTAGCTACTCAGGAAACTTTTTTTATTTTTAACTAAGCAGCTAATTTGGAGATATTGGAAAATCCTGACTGAGCTTGATTATTTTGTCAGCAGTGGGCAGTTCCTGTCAGTAGATAATTTCTGTGGGGGGGTGAAAAGATGCCAGAAAATAAGCAAAAATTTTATTACAAATACTGCTATATTTTGTTTACTGTTTTGACAAAAGAGTTTTGGCTATATTGTTGCAGTTCTATCTAGGGTGTGATTTCAGTCATAAGTGTGGAACCTCTGGACGTTTTCTTGATAATCCCAGTTCTGGGGGTTGGGCAGGTGTTATTTACAGATCCTATTTGATCAAGCAAATCATAACCAACATTTTGCCATACAAAATCATTTTTGAGTTACTCATTGCTATCTTAATTCACCAGTTTGTAAACTTCATAGATACGTACTTGGGCTGAAATGCAGGCTTGCTTAAAAAAAGAGAAATTAAAAGTGTTCCAAATCAGCTTCCAATCAGAGTTGGTATTTAAATGAGCACTCTTTTTTAAATATTTTTATTAGCAGTGCTGAAGGAAAAACAATGAGGAAAATGCTCATCTAGTGATTCCATTTCAGGTAAAACCTGTTGCTGTTATCCAAACCTCTTACTATCTTTTAGAGGACCTTCAGAGCAGATTTGAGACCTCACTATAGAGGGTAACTATGGAACATTTCAGAGGCTGTGCAAATCTAAAATACCAGTTGTTCAGAGAGGTATAATATGGTCATTACGTTCTCTTTATCCCCACCTGAAAGCCGCTGTGAGAAATAGTTGCACTTTGTGGATCAGCCCATTGTTGTCTTTGATCTTTTCCCCAGAAAAAAATTAAGTTTGTGAGATGATTGTTGCTAGTGAAAAGCTCACTTTGCGTTTGTTTGTTTGCTTCTTGCAGAAATGAGTCGTCAGACTGCCACAGCACTTCCTACAGGTACCTCCAAGTGTACACCGTCCCAAAGGGTACCTGCCTTGACGGGCACCACCGCCTCCAACAATGACTTGGCCAGCCTGTTCGAGTGTCCCGTCTGTTTTGACTATGTGCTGCCACCTATCCTCCAGTGCCAAAGCGGCCATCTTGTTTGTAGCAACTGTCGCCCCAAGCTCACCTGTTGTCCGACCTGCCGAGGGCCCTTGGGCTCCATTCGGAATTTGGCGATGGAAAAAGTGGCCAACTCCGTACTGTTTCCTTGTAAATACGCCTCCTCTGGCTGCGAGATAACATTGCCGCACACCGAGAAAGCTGACCACGAAGAGCTTTGCGAATTTAGGCCTTACTCTTGCCCGTGCCCCGGGGCTTCTTGCAAGTGGCAAGGCTCTCTGGATGCGGTCATGCCACACCTCATGCACCAACATAAATCAATAACAACGCTACAGGGAGAAGATATTGTTTTCCTTGCTACAGACATTAATCTTCCCGGAGCTGTTGACTGGGTTATGATGCAGTCTTGTTTTGGCTTTCACTTCATGTTAGTACTGGAGAAACAGGAAAAATACGACGGTCACCAGCAGTTCTTTGCAATCGTACAGTTGATAGGCACGCGGAAACAAGCTGAAAATTTTGCTTACCGCCTCGAGCTGAACGGCCATAGGCGGCGATTGACTTGGGAAGCCACTCCGCGATCGATCCACGAGGGAATCGCAACGGCCATCATGAATAGTGACTGCTTAGTCTTTGACACCAGCATCGCACAGCTTTTTGCAGAGAATGGCAACTTAGGTATTAATGTGACAATTTCAATGTGCTGAAAACCCAATCTGACATTTTCAGGGCCAGTGTCTAAAAAATAATAATAATAGTAATCACCTCAATCCAATCCGCTGCATTCAGTTTCGCAGAAACCGTGGTAAACATCTGACTGCTAGGTGTGAACAATTGGGAGGGAGAGGCTAGCGTACATGAAGGTAAATTAATGGGAAGACTGTTCAGGCGCAGATAACAGTTGCATGTAATAACACTAATATATTTAAATGAGTCAGCAGTAAACCACTGAAAATATATATATATATATATATATATATATGAGTGCGCGTGTATATATATATATATATATATGAATATAAAAATATATTATATTATATATATATACCCAAAATGGGCATCCTTTTGTATTAAGAATTGATTCTATGAAAAGTGCTGTAAAATAATTCTAAACCTCTTTGTAGATTAATTGTACTTTTGAAAAGGATACCGTTTTGTGTTTCATTTGTGTTTCTTTTGACTGACAAGCCATGCAAAGCGGTCTGGGGTTTGACCGCTGTTTCTCCCCTGTTCCTTCCTCTTCTCCCTTGCTTTTTTTTTTCTTCCCAACTCACTACATAGTATTGCTGCTGTTCTTGTATAAATTTTCTGTGTATTTGCTAATTTTTATTAACTTCTAGTTTTTCATTAAATAAATGAATTTTCTTTCCTGTGATTCAGGTTTTAATTGTTTCCTTTTGGGGTTTTTTTGGAAGGGGACCTTTTGAAATAACTTATGGATGTCATCTGAGGCACAGCAAAATTGTTTTTGGCTAAAGGCAGACTTCCATATATTGGTAATATTTGGGGGTGCTGTTTGGCCCCTAAGAATGGTACAGTTATAACATACAACTTGAAGAATAGAGACGCCATGAGACAAATTCTAAAAAAGGCTTCTTTTAGATTGTAGATATCATTACATTTTGATTTCAAACTTCATTTTGAATAAGTTGTTTCATAATGTTCTTTTAATTTATTTTAAATTAGTGGGGAAATTCAGGCCAATTTTCAAAAAAATTGAGAGATCTTGAAACACTTTGAGGTCATTCTTGTATTAATTAGTTGTGCAATACAAGAAGGCATAGTTTACAGTATTTGTAACTATAAATATAGGCCATATTTATAGTAAGCTGTTTGGTCTTTTTAAAATTCTGTCATTAAAAGAATTTCTGGCAAACTGAAATCTCTTTAAGTGATGTTGGCTGTTTTGTTTGGGTTTTTGTTTTGGCAATAACGGAATGAAACCAAACTAAAATGGAATTATTCCTTGCAGTTGCACCATTAATGCTAGGGTCCTGCAGCCGAATCCTTTTGTGGCAAGGATCTTCCTCTAGCAGGCTATTCTCTGAATGCTTATCTGCCTAACTTCCTTTGAGGCATCTGTAAATGGGAATCGACATCCAGGAGAAATGTGAGGTGTGTTCTCTCACACATTTCGTATTTGTTCCTAGAAGCCATGCATATTAGCACATATCGCACCAATACATTGTTTTTAAAGTTATCCAAGGTGAAAAAAAATCCAGATGACTAAAAGTAATCATCAACGATTCTTTTAACAGCAAACAAGGTTTTAGGCAAGAGGGGAGGAAGCAAGGAATGAATGGGAGAAGCGCTATTCCCAGTAGTCCTTGACTTACAACCACAGTTGAGCCCGGAAGTTTGGTCGTAACTCAAGTCACCATGTGACTGGTCTCGATTTTACAACCATTTTTATAATGGTCGCTAAATGAGTAGCTGGCCATTAAGCAAATCAAATGGTTGTAAACCCAGCTCGTCCAACTGAACTTTTTTTTGGGGGGGTAGAAAATAGAAAAATGCAATCACATGACCTGGAGATGTTGCAACTGGTTGTAAATCTGAACCAGTTGCCAAGCACTCAAAATACAATCACGTGACCGGGGGGGGGGGGGGAGAAGCTGCAGCAATCATAACTTGGAGGATGGATTGTTAAGAAACCTTTTTCAAGATCAATCTTAACTCTGAATGCTTGTTAAGTGACCAGCTATAAGTCAAGAACTACCAGTATGAGATTTAGGCTACTGGACAGAGATTAGCAAGGCATGCAAAGCCTCTACTTTATTAGGAATGTCTGGATACACCTTGGCATCATATAGTTAGGGAATTTTTTTTGTTTCTCGTTCATATCATGGCTTGGCTGCAAGGGACAGTAGGAGCTCCAGCTGTGTAATAAACCACTTGCATAAACTGAGATCGGCTTAATGACATTTGACCGTAGTGCTAGCCAGTTTTGACTTCAAAGGAGGCAGCTGAGTTTAAGTACCTATGCTTGCCATTAAGCCTTTTGCTCAATGAGATGCAAGGCATGCGCGAGTAACTTAGGCTCAAACAAATGATCTTTATATCATTTGATTTTGAGTATTTCCCCCCCCCTTTTTTTTTAATTCACGAAACCGTATAAAGTAGAACAAAGCTATCGTATGCATTTTTAGATGCCCATTGAATGCTCTCCAAGGGTACATCCCTAGAGGAAAATTGTCAATCTTTTGAAGAAGTACCGCAGGGCCGGGATGATTTCACAAGCTTATTTCAGTCATTCTTTTGAGTCAGCAATTCTCTTAGGGCAGCAGTAAAAAGGCAGCTGGACGTGTGCCCAAAAATTTAGCTGTTTTTTTGTTTGTTTTTTTGCAGATGATACTTAGGAACCCACCTTGAGTCGTGCAGTACAGCTATAGCAACAATACTTAACAAAACTATTGAACTCTTCGGCTAGTCTTGACAAAGTTATATAGATTATTATTCTGCCCTTTTGCACGATACACGTCTGTCTGTACTTCCCTATGTACTCTAGGTGTTGAGCTGCCAGAGATTACGATAAAAAAAACTTGCTTACCTTTAGCAGACTGGTTGCATCATCTACCTTCAAGCTTGTAACCCTGGGTAAAAGAAGTTGCTATAGGTTCATCTAATATGCTGGTACAACCAACCATCCGTGAGATCTGAAACGGCCTTTCCAAACTTTCGGAATAAAGTCTCTCTTTCCACCCAACTATTTTGCAGAGAGACCTAGTGAACAGAAAATCTCTAGAGACCTACATTGTTATTTACCCATGTAGTAGGCCTGTATTACCGGTATTATTATCCTTCTCGTCTTTCCTATTGCCTTCTCCTATTGGTATCCTATTATATTTGTTGTTTGTATGTACACTGAGAGCTTATGTACATTGTCCAATCACACTTGGCCAATAAAGAATATTCTATTCTATTCTTCTATTCTCTATTCTATTCTAATCTAATCTATATTCTATTCTGTATTCTATTATTATATTCTATATTCTATTCTATTTTGTATTCTATATTCTGTATTCTATTCTAATCTGTATTCTATTATTCTATATTCTATTCTGTATTCTATTCTATATTCTACTATTCTATTCTATTCTATTCTTCTATTCTATATTCTATTCTGTATTCTATATTCTACTATTCTATTCTATTATTCTATTCTCTATTCTATTCTAATCTATATTCTATTCTATTCTCTATTCTATTATTCTATTCTATATTCTATTCTGTATTCTATATTCTACTATTCTATTCTATTCTCTATTCTATTCTAATCTATATTCTATTCTATTCTATTCTATATTCTATTATTCTATTCTATATTCTATTCTATATTCTACTATTCTATTCTATTTTATTCTATTCCTTTTAATAAAAGTAAAGGCAAAGGTTTCCCTGTCCAGTCAGATCTGACTCTAGGAGGCGTTTTTTTAGCCAAAGGAGCCAGTATTATCCAAAGACATTTCTGTGGTCATGTGGCTGCCATGACTATACACCAAGATGCACAGAACGCTGTTATTTTCCCACCAAAGTGGTACCTATTTATCTACTCGCATTTGCATGCTTTTGAACTGCTAGGTGGACAGGAGCTGGAGCAAGGAACGGGAGCTCACCCCGTCTCGAACCTGGGCTGTCAGCTTTGCAGCTTCATGTCTCAAGTATATCAATACTCCACGTCTTTTTCTCACACATTCTTTCATATGTTGGTTATCTCGGGACAATTATTTCAGTTGGCATTAAAAAAAAAAGTGGCCACTATCGCCCACTTGAGACTGAAAGGCTATGCAGAGAGCTTTTAATATTCCTCTATAAACGGCACAAAGATTAATACAATTCCATCCGCGCATAATGAAGCAGACCGAGTGGAATCACCGATCTAGCCGTTGCAGGTACCTTGAATCGGTTTGAGGTCCCATGTGGTAGATTTTGCCAGTTTTTTTTTCTTCCAGTTTGTGAATCTTTGCATTACAAAAGGAACAAAACACAGAATCCCTGGTTGTCCTTACCAACCCTTGTTTTGAAGGATACGCTTCCTATTGAATTCTTGATGCACCCGGCCTTCCTCGTGTATTTACTTGGAAATGAGACCTGATAATTTTAAAGTATTTGGGTTTTTCCCCCCAAATGATTTGGGAGGGATGCAATTGTATTTGGAAACCCACGTTAGAAAATAAAAGCAAAGCAATTTTTTTTTTAGCCAGTTCTGGAATTAGGCAAGAGCAAAACAAATTACTTTTCAACGTGGTTGGTTGGCTTTGATTTGGGGTTTGTTTTTCCTTTGTTTTCTGCATTTGTCAAGCTAGGTTCAAGAATGGAGTATGGAAGTGTTACCATCATGGTGTGTGAGGGTTATTGGAGACAAAGATGTAATGGGAGAAGTAGATTAATCTAGAAACTTCTCAAGGCCAGCCTTGTGCAGTCTTGTGGGTGGGTCTCCATAGTTGTCCTTGAAGGACCTGGATGCAAGTTTATCTGTGTGGGAGTGAAATATTTCCTTCATTCTGAATTGGCTTATTCTAAGGCAGTATGTCTAATAAAATTATGTGAGAAAGGAAATCGTTATTTACCATCCTGAACCCTCAACAGCAATTAACTGACCAGATCTTCAAATACCAAATAAGTGGGAACGAGATTGTGATGTATAGTTGCAATTTTTCCAGCTGCTTGAAAGAAATAACTGCCTGCATTTTATTCAGAATTGTTTTGCAAATATCTTTTGGAGGAAAAACCTCCATATGCAAATGTCTTTGACCCTATAATTAATCCTGATGGTTCTTGAACGTATGAAATTAGCAAGGAGTTCCTTGGTAGTAGGGTCTGTTCCAGATATTTGGCTTGTACGAGTGGTCCTCAACTTACAACAATCCGCTTAGTGACCGAAGTTACAACGGCACTGAAAAAAGTTGACTCAGGACCGTTTTTCACACTTACGACCGTTGCCGCATTCCCCAGGGTCATGTGATCAAAATCCAGCCGCTTGGCATCTGACTCGTATTTATGACGGTTGCAGTGTCCCGGGGGGGGGGGGGTCATGCGATCCCCTTTTGCGACCTGACAAAGTCAGTGAGGAAGCCAGATTCGCTTAACCACCGTGTTGCTAACTTAACAGCTGCAGTGATTCACTGAACAACTGTTAACAAGAAAGGTCGTAAAACGAGGCAACGTTCCCTTAACAACTGCCTCACTTAGCCACAGGAATTTTGGGCACGACTGTGATTGTAAGTCAGGGACTTCCTGCATTTTAAGCAGCCTGAAGGGGATATTCTGCGATAGGCGACGATAAGCCATGGATCTTGGGAAGCCTTGCTGGGTCTGTTGTCTTCTCAAGCTGGCAAAACTTGCTTTGAAGCTTAACCCAATGATGTATCGGCCAAGAAATGTTACTGTAGAGTTGGGAGTAATAACCCCCAACCTCCCGCCTTCCCCCTTCAACGCGTTTCCCAAGTCGCTTCCTTTCACAAGTAAAATGTTATGGAAAGATAAAGTTGCGGAGCTTCCCATCCAGCGCAGCCCAGGATGTATTGGCAGGATTTTCTCAGATGTCATCAGACTGGTTAGGAGGAGGACAAAAGATTGCATTCTTTAGCTGTGACACTGGGAGGGTATAAATTCCCACAAGATTTGCACTGCGGGGAGGAGGAAATCTGTTGTAGATCAGGCCACTGCTGAAGCGGGGAAGATCTACTCTAAACAAATACCGGTAAAGTAGGATTTAAGAATGAGATCAGAAAAGGCAGGAGGCAGTGTGGGGAGGGAGATGTCCGAGAGATAAGCTACCGCTGTTATTTAAGAAAACGTCTCTTCTCTAACATCTGATAAGAAGGAAATTTAAGACTATGGCCATCAGTAGGAAGCTGCCCACCTCTAAATTGGGGGCTGTTTTAAAGCAGCCTTGAAATAATGCAGCTGGCACCGCAAAACCTTCCTTCTGAAATTCTTTCCCAAAAGGGAACTCCAGCAAAAGGGGCTATTTCGGCATTTTAAAGCAGCTTCCTGAAAACGTGGTCCGTGGGGTCTTTCCCCAAGTTAACCTACCTTTTTCACAAGCTGCTCCCCTCTTTATGCTAACCTTTTCGTGACTTTTTAATATAAAAACTTGGCTGGCACTTCCAAAGCGTTCACTCTCCCGGTTGCGGTCAATCTTCCTGCGGATAGCAAGCGCAAATGGCCACTGAGGAGAAACAGAAGTTTTTGAAAACCTGAGAATGGGAACAGATGTGACAAGCAGACACGACCGACGCAATGGGGTCATGTCAGAAAAGTGGAAAACAAGGAGGAGGAGGAGGAGGAGGAGGAGTGAATTACCTTATTTACTTAACT